AGTTGTTTTGGCCAGCAGCCTCAGCAATTGTGGAATCCTTGTGCGCATATAGACATTTCATTTCACACACAACCATCCCACAGAATTTGCAGTCAATAATCTCATCAGGGGAAGCTCCTAAGTGTGGCCACCTAGAATTAATATTGAGACCACAGTCAGAAATTGTCAAAGACTCATGGAATTGATTCATATCTATCTGGTAAGCTTTGCGAGCACTAGTGTTGTTTTCACAACCCCACAGTGTGGCTGCAGTTGTAAAATTATGGGCTTCAGGGTAGCATATGGACTTGACTAAGACTTAGCAGGCTTAGTCATATTTGTTTTGCAAGCAGTTTTTCGATTGGAAGCAGTAATATGACCTGCTTGCCTGCCATTTGGTACCAAATTTATTTTGTGACTGCTTTCTGGTTGAATCTTCTATTGCTTGACACTCATCAGGCACAATCGCAAGAAATATTTGTTGACACTGCTGCAACAACCCTATGTAGTCTAACTGCAAACACTCTTCTCTGAAAAAAACAAAGCTATTGGGCAAGTGCTTGGGTAAATTATCAATTTCTTTACAAGCTCATTTAAAGGTGTGACAAGGGACAAGACTGCTGGTTCTACTGTACAGCCAGAAATACTTCTAATAGTTTTCTGCTCTTCTGGGGTTGGGGTGGGTGTCCTGGTTGTTTGAATCCCAGGGTTAGATCTAGTAGCCATAGGAGTAACCCGTTCCTCCACCATCAATTCATGCTTCCTTCAGGCAGAGGTAAAATCCATCTCACTTACAGGTAATGGGGGATTTCTTTGAGTGCATGTGGTAGAATCTCTAATTCTAACACCAGCCTCCACAGCAAAAAGCTCTGCCCCAACATGAGACCACCCTTCACATAACCCTACCATGCAATAGCAATGGGAAGCAATCACATTTTTCTGCCAGAAACCATATTCAAAGTGGGATGTCCCAGGCTCTCTGTGGGCAATTCACCACTGAAGTGATCGTGAGGGTACACAAAAAGTCTTAATTCTAAATCCCAAAAATTCAGATCCTTGAAATATGCCATATCACTCACTAATGTGAGTACTATGAGTGATATGTCTTCTGAACTTGCAGCTGTTGTGTCAAAATCAACTAGATCGCTCTGACAAAGGGCTAATGCACAAAACATCAGCTTTGAACTCTATGATGGCCAATTTACAATTTCAACTAAGTTGAAATAACCAAATTACCAAGACTACAATAATTGTGACATTGAAATCACAGCTGCCGAGGGAGCCATCGACATTGTTTAATGATTTTTAGCAGCCTTGTATACAGGGGCTTCATTAATGTTTTCTGCAGGAGGGTAACTGGTTTTCACAGGCGGGAAAAACTCTTTGAACTAAACTTCTTTATAAGATCAACTTTCCTCCAGACCGTCAAATCAGGTGGGCAAAACCATCCTCACAAACGATCAATTTGCCCAGTGCCTGGCCCTTAATGAAACCCCTGTGTATATAGGGTTCTAGATTTGCCATTCACCTTTCTGTATAGTTTTAGATATGCTTTAACTTATCAGATTATTAGACTTAGAATCTGTTCAGATTTGACTCCGTTATTTATAGTTTTCCAGACGCTTTGACAAAAAAAAAGGAGTAGATGTGAGCCGAAAGTGAGTTATTTTGGATCGCTTTTTACGCTGTTAATATTTTGTATTGTAGAAGATTTTAAGGAAATTATTGCTAAATAAAATTACTTCTAATTACCAAGTAAAACAAGAGTTGTTAGCCGAGGTCAATAAAAAGAGTCCTTTATTTTGCTCTAAAGGCTGATAGTTTCTAAAGAAACTGTTTGGGGCTGCGTCGGTGGAGGTAACGAAATAATTTGAATATATCAACAAAGTTGAAATGGTAACTTGGCCACTGTAACGATTACAAAAGCTGATGTTTCGAGCATTAGCCCTTCATTGGAGCGAATAGAGGAATTGTGGGTTGTGTGTGCTTTTAAAGGCAGAAAATGGAGCTACGTTATTGGTGGGAACATGGCAACGAGAAAAACACGAATAAATTAGTGGAATGAAAAGCGTTCGTTGATCCCTGTGGGATTTAGACTGCCGGTTTGAAAGATGAGCTTTTGTTCAAGAGTTTTACGGCTTTCCGTGCTACCTAAGTGTAAGGAAAGACCGCAACATATGGCAATCTGCAAAGAATAAAGCACACCTACAGGAGTCTTAACTATGACAACTTACGTCTTTAACTATGACAACTTTACTTTATTTTAACTAGCTTTGTTTTGTTTTAAGTCAATTTAAATCCGAAATTTCTACATTGAAATTCGACCTGTAGAATAAATTTTACTTAGTTTTTATCTTGTTTAGAAATTATATTTTAAAATCCTTTGCTTCAGAATTATATTTTGTATTTTATATATAGATAGTATTTAGATAGTTAGTCATTAGATTAATTTTAAATATTTTAAATTTAGATAATTTAACTTGGAGATATTAGCATTTATTTGCTATCTTAAATCCAAGTATAAATAAAGTTATTGTCATTGTCATTGCTAGTGTCCCCAATTGGTACTGTCCTGTGCTAGAATTTTTGACACTTAAATAAAGGTTCATTCATTCCGGTCTTACTTGTGTTATAGCAATCTTACATAAAAAAAAATCATAGAGTTCAACATGCCAACATTTCGAATTTCGAAATATCTCGTTTAGACGATAAAATAATAGGCAAATACGGTATAAAGATGCTAACTTAGCGAAAGGCAGCTCAACTGAAATGTATAAATTTGGGACTCAGAACGTTAGCTTTTAAAATTCCCTAACAATCGATTCACCACAGGCGTGATACACTAAATATTTATCAACGCGAAATTGAAATGCATCATTCTTAAATCTATCCTCCTCAAGCCAGAAGAAGACGATGGAATTCGGCTCTGAACATAAATAACGGAATCTCACCAGTTCAAGGCGTACGGCTTGCGTGGTCGTCGGCGTCGTGATAGTCAGATCGTTGGTCAGCTTTTGTCAGCTAAGCGTTTGGCAGCAAGAGAACACAGCGGTTAAGTGTAGGGCATGCGTGAAGGATCAATCTCGGGCGCCCGCGCGCCAATTTCCCGCGCAAAATTGCTAAGCGAAACAAAGGAAACAACCGATGTCTCACAAAATAGTAGACAAACGTTCATGGAAATCTGTAACAGGAGAAAAAGCAAGGAAAAGGACAACATGAGACTTTTTCTAACACAAAGCCTATTCATTCTGAATATCTAAACTTAATTTAGGGGTCGGTAAGTAAATGTCGTGTCTCATTTCTGGTGCCATGACTATGAATACGACATTTGAATAATCACAAATTTTAAAACACTTATCTCACACTTAACACAACAGTAAATAACTTATGTTATATTGACGATACAATAATTAAAACAGCATGAAATACATCATGAAAAGGAAAAATAAAGATTGGCCCTATGACGTTTCACCTGGAAGAAAAGGATCAAAATTTAAAATACCCATTTACAGGTAAGTCCGAAAATGTTTATTGAAATAGCTAGCTAGGAGACTAAGTTAAAAAAGAAGTTTAAGTCCTTTCTTAACCTTGTTAAAACTAATGGCTTCGACTACAGTTCGCGGCAGACTGATCCATTCTTGTACCGTAAGGACGGCGAAAAACATTTGAAAGCCCAGGGCTGTAGACAGATTTCAGGACAAGACCAGGCAAGTTTCGAGCGCGGAAGGCGCGAACCGCAAGAGGGGTCTGGGGGCATGCCCCCAGAAAACTTTGAAAGCTAGAGGTTTAGAAATGCTCTTTTAAGAATTTTCCGTGGCATTTTTCTTCAGAAAAGTCAATCTTTAAGAAAAAAATGAAGAAAGGCCAAAATTAAGACGAGGCAACTGCCTCGTCTTGCCTCATGCTAGCTACGGCCCTGTTTACACTCTGTTAGCTTAAGAGATAATTTGAAGGAATGGTTTTCCCTTATAGATGTGCACTAAGTTCATCTCGTGTTATCTCTCGGAATCAATGTTTTCACTTTGAGCTCATAAACCTCCTCGCATTGCTAGTTAATGACTCAGTGGTCCGACTGGTAAATAGTGGTTTACCGCGTACAGTAATTCTGCTATAGTACATTGCGCCACCTTCTTGTGGATGATCTTTGTTTAAAACGTAGCGTCAATGCATTTTTGAGGGCGTTTTTTTTTTTTTAAATAAATCCTACATTAAGGGATCTTTTTTTGGCATAAAATACCGTTGTTTTTTTCACGTTTAATCCCTATTCTGTGGAACCTGTATTTAGCAGTCACCCCGTCTCCCCCGTGGGTGACCGCTAACATGAAGGCTGGGCCGAGAAGGATAACCGAGGAGTACTAAGATAAAGTTTTCGAGCTGTGCAGTGTTCCTGCCAAGTTCTGAGGGGGTTTTACGAAGTATCATATCCGCTTGCGTGCGAAAGATTCGAACAAAATGCTTACTCAAATCTACCTAAGGACCACTTCGAGCCTTGCATCTTAAATTCCACGATTAGACGGGTGGTTGGCATTCCGGGGGGTCTATCGAGGGGAAACTTCACAAAAGTGTGAGATATTTGCCATTAAGGAGGTCTTCATAAACTAGAAGAATCACATATGAAAATCACATATACATCTTCCGGCCAATGAAGTCTATCCTTTGGCAACCAACAAGTTGATCCCCGGAAGATCTGACACTATTGCAAAATTGCAACATCGTTTTCCGAGCTATTTGCTCTAACTACAGAAGTTTCGAGAACACTCCTCTTGCGAGAAACTATCATTTTTGGGATGGCTCGAAACTAATCAGTAGAGAGGTAAATCTCTAAAGAAACTGCGGTGCTACGTCGATGGAGCGTGAGGAAGGGGTATAACCAGACAATTTGGTTTCATCAACTGAGTTAATGACATAAATTGGCCACCATCATTCGCTCAGACCAAGGGCTAACGTTTGAAACGTCAGCTCTAGAAACTCTCTACAGAGGCCAAGTTACACTATCGACTCATTAAATAAAACCAAATTTCTAAATATCTTAATACGATTAACTTTATTCAGCACTCAATGTGACACGCTTTCTCCTGAAATGCGAAAAAGAACTCCAGAAATTTCTCTGTAATATTAAGCACTGAGCCATTATATTCGAGTGTTACACACTCCTTATATACAGTACTTAAATAGAATAATAAATATAGCTTAACAAAGCCATACGATAAGGAATGATTTTCGGAAAACGCCGCCTACTTGTTAACGTTGCCATTGTAAATAGTACTACTGCAGGTTGTTTGACACTTTCTCATAAGAGGCGTCAGTGGTTTTTACTGTTATTGAACTTGGTACAAACAAATACGAAAGAGTTCTCATGAAAAAAAAAGAAAAAAAACTTGACAGGGATTCACATCTTTGTATTCATATGGTGAATGACAATATTAATGATTAAGATTGGAAAATTTTGATTCGTATTTTTTCGTGTCCAAAATTCCATTTAAATTGAGTGGATACTAAAAAATTTAAATTCATGAGAAAGACAAACCGCAGAGAAACAAGGAGGATTAACATGGACTGCAATTGAGAAAGTTCTAAAATTTAAAATAAATTTCAGAAGATCCACAAACTGTGACGCAACTCCCTTATGGTCTTAGAAGACAAAAATAACAAGAACATCAAGAGATCCACCCTTTGACATTCAGCTGAATAAGAATCCTTGTTACCAATGCCGTAATACCCGCTTAAGGAGAGCGCTCACTATACTTAACTGTGTTAAACAATACCTTTTCAGGTTTAGTTCTAAATTGTTATATCAATATCTGATAATTATTGATACCTCAATCAGGATTTTTGGTCATCATCTCATTCTCTATCATGGCCTTAACCAATATCGTTACAGCCACCGTCTCTTATAAATCCAAGATCAACAGATTAATAAAGTTAACGAAATTCTATAATAAATAATCACTGACTATTGTGATCTTTCCTTTAGCTAAAAATTGTCCTTGGAAGTCATCTGAATTGGCTGCACTGGTAGACTAGTTTCACCAACATTGCAATTTAAGAACGACCAGGTCATTTCAGTCTTTTAAAAGAGTAAGAGATATTTGTTGGCCAATCCAACGTTCTCTGACCCAAAATGTTAGATTCCCTTTTAAAATGAGAAGGATTCGTGTAATTGACAGGCAATTACTGTTGAGGATAAGGTGGCGTTCCTGCAGGAGGAGGTGCTGATGGGTAAGGTGCCACACCTCCAGGTGCTGGCTGAAATGCTGGGAAAGGAGGCACTCCATCTGGTTGTGCGATGGGGTACGGTGGTGCTCCAGCTGGTTGTCCAGGCGGGTATGGTGCAGTAGGACCAGGAGGATACGGTTGTCCCGAGGAAAAGGGTGGTGCTCCTCCAGGTGGTGCAACAGGATAAGATCCAGATTTGTCTGAAAACAAATTTAAACAGACTTCAAATCGTACATTTAAGTATATCCAAGATGTTTCACAGTGCCAGGCTATCTGTGGTTCTCTTTGCAAGTGTCATATACTCAGCACAAAGCAATGCTCTGCGCGTCCTAGCACCTCTTGAATGATTTCACATCCATGCCTCCATTTTCACATATATATTTCATTTACTGAAGGAAGAAGCCAAAATAGCCGGGTGAACGTTCAGTTTACTTGTAACAAGGTTTGTACTTCCCTAAGTGAAGTTGCTGCTTGTATCGCCATGCATAGTGATTGGCAAAGCCACTGCCTTTACTTTTGAACTGGTACAGTATATGCAATGAATGACCTTCACCTTCCTCCTTCCCAGTATTTGAAATTATTTTGGGAGGGGCAGGGATTGTGTGACTTGAAATTTTTCTTTTTCCAAGTACCAGAGACTTAATAAAAACCTTGAGTTTCCTTTGACAATAACCCTTCACATTAAAAGCACAGTTCCACCAACTTACCTTGTTGTAGGTAGGATGCCCCCATCACTTGACTGTAGGGTGGTGGTGCATAACCTGGCTGTGGTGGAGGTGCATAGCCAGGCTGTGGAGGAGGATAGTGTCCTGTTTGAGGAGGCGGGGGTCCATAGCCTGGCTGAGGTGCTGGGGGAGGGTGATTTATGGTCACTTGCTGTGGTGGGGCGGCAACATAAGCCACAGCTGTGTGTTGTTGTGCCCTTGCCAGTCTCCTTTGACGTACACATCTATAGTAAATACAACCAGCACAAAAAAACACAAAAACCAGTGGAACCAGGATGCCAACCACAACACCACCAAGGGAGCTGCTGTCATCACCTGATGGGATAGAATGAAAAAAATTAATTTACTTAAGTATGGTGAAATTCTATTGTTCATCTCAAATAAACTTAACCAATTGAGCTAACCACCTCCCGGTTATCTCAATTGGTTAGAACGCCAGATTGTGTTGTGTGGGAGGTCGAGGGTTCGAGCCCCGGCCAGACCAAACGCTCATGGTCTTAAAAAAAGTGAGGACAATTTGCTACCTTTCTATAATCAAGAAATGGATAGATATTCTAGTCTTCTCGGATAAGGACGAATAAACTGTAGGCCCCATCTCCTGGCAGAGTTAACGGTAGGAGACGTTAATTTCCCATGCACGAGATTACTGTGTGGTGGATGTCCTCCCCTGGGTGGGATGGGTGAGTGTTGGCCCTGAAAAGCCCCTATGGGGAGTGGTCAATTAACCTATGTATGTATGCATGTAAAGTGTGACTTGATTTTCGTAGAACAGTGCTCAATACATAGAAGTAGAGCGAAGTATATATTGTGGGAGGAAAAAGACAAGTAAACTACAAGTTCATCCCTACAAGCCTGTTTCGTGGTCGCCCACTCATCAGGGGATTTAACGAGAATAACCTTTACCATTGCTTATATACAATATAATTTGCATGATCTAACTAGTCTAATTTATGCAGCGCGAAATTGACAGTTTAGTTGTTGCGTAGGAGGGCTTTGCTTCTGTGGCGGCATGAAGACACGAGTTCATTACGTTTGTTTAGTGTTGATAGTTCGGGCCGGCAGATGATTAGGAATTTTTCTTTGAGGCAGAGGCTACATCTTTTAGTTGAGCTGTTATACGGTGAGTGCGATGAGAGAATGCGCCAGGAAATAAAGGGATCGATGTTGTTGTCTTTGAGGGTCCAGATGTGCTTGCTGAGTTCGGTAGAGTTTCTGTGTTTAGCGTGGCGGAATGATGCGGTGTGGTTTCTGTATCTTGTTTTGAAGTCATTCTCTGTGAGTCCGATGTATGTTTCTGTCGTGTTGTTGTCTTTGCGTGTAACGGAGGCTTGGTAGACAACAACACGACAGAAGTCATTCTCTGTGAGTCCGATGTATGTTTCTGTCGTGTTGTTGTCTTTGCGTGTAACGGAGGATTGGTAGACAACAACACGACAGAAACGTACATCGGACTCACAGAGAATGACTTCAAAACAAGATACAGAAACCACACCGCATCATTCCGCCACGCTAAACACAGAAACTCTACCGAACTCAGCAAGCACATCTGGACCCTCAAAGACAACAACATCGATCACTTTATTTCCTGGCGCATTCTCTCATCGCACTCACCGTATAACAGCTCAACTAAAAGATGTAGCCTCTGCCTCAAAGAAAAATTCCTAATCATCTGCCGGCCCGAACTATCAACACTAAACAAACGTAATGAACTCGTGTCTTCATGCCGCCACAGAAGCAAAGCCCTCCAACGCAACAACTAAACTGTCAATTTCGCGCTACATAAATTAGACTAGTTAGATCATGCAAATTATATTGTATATAAGCAATGGTAAAGGTTATTCTCGTTAAATCCCCTGATGAGTGGGCGACCACGAAACAGGCTTGTAGGGATGAACTTGTAGTTTACTTGTCTTTTTCCTCCCACAATATATGTATGCATGTATGTATGTAAGAGCATGTACCGTTGCTGTAGATTGTACGTGAGTGTGTACATGTCCCTTGCACAGGTTGGTTTGGTTTCTTGCTTTTAAGAAATGAACTTAAATGACTTCTGCATAATTTAAAATAAGTTAATAGTTTGACCAAACTTAGGCAACCCAGATTCTCAAATTCTAATTTGTCCATTCCAATTGAAATGCACTCCTGCATGTAGAAAAGCACTAAATCTAAACAAAAAAAGGTAAGAAAAAGGTTGAATTACTTTATGCTAATATTCCCTTCACTTCAAATTTTTGTTGAAAGATTGGCTAGAAATTGACCCCAACAATATTCAGAGGAGATACAATGAATATATGAAGTTCATATATTTTTGAACTGCGGTATTAGATACATATGATGGACGATCCTCGCAGTAGATAGCGCTATTTAGGCAATAGCGAAAATCAGACCTGAAAAAAATTTTCAGGTCTGATTTTCGCTATTGCCTAAATAGCGCTATCTACTGCGAGGATCGTCCATCATACGTAAATATTCAGAGGAAAATGAACCACCATAACTGTCAACTTTTTCAGTGTAATTACAAGAGTTTCCTCTCCATGTTCCTCCATGACCTCTGAGAATTACCCAAGATCTTTTAACTAATTCCCTTTATTACTGTGTAAGTCCTAACAATTTCTGAAAACAACTATGAAAATCTTATGGCTACTGCCGGTAGAATGACGTAACTACACTACGGCCGAAAAATCCACGCATGTGACTCAAGCATTAAGGAATATCAGTGAACTTTCTTTTTGTCCTTTAGTTGATTGTAAGTCCCTTCGTTATTGACAGTGGTATTGGATAATAACAATTTTCAAACACAGAATAATGTAATTAAAATGCATGCAGAAGGTTAGTGTTTTTGATCAACAAAGGGGGAACTGATACACAAGAATTAATAGTTGCGACCCTTGCCTGACTCCCACTAAGCTAAAAGGATAAAAATGCCTGTGATGCAGGCCATAAAGGAAACAAATAAGTTATTGTAAAGTTCAACAGCTCAGACAGCTTACTTTACTTGATATTATTAAGGGTGTCAAACAGTCACCCAGTATATAGAGTATATTGTACATTACAATATATAAATTTGGCTCCCTTGCAAACAGGTCACAAAAGACTTACTTGATTTATACATTACGTAGCCAGCAACAAACCCCCGCCCACTTTTAAAACTGTCAGATTTAAACCTAATCCAAATTCTCTCTTTTGATGAAGTAAAGTCAAAGGGTAACTTTTCACCACACGCAGAGTCTCTGATGGTTTTGGATTGATCGTATGAATCACTGTCATCTCCTCCTACAAAACAGGACAAAAGTTGTGAGAAACAGGTCCAATAGGTTCCGTAGATATCTACAATGATAAATGTTACCTTGTAATAAATTGATGTACAAGAAACAGAGTAAAATAGAAGTCAACAGGTGAAAAGACAGAAAAATATGTTCAAATGGGCTCCATTCTAACAATTAACAATTATTGCACAAAGTGGAGGTGAATAGTGGTGGATATTTATTGAGCCATGGTGGATATTTACCAACCTGTAGGCGAATAATTGTTTTAGTTTATACCACACAGAACTTTCTCCAACTTTCCAATGCCCTTTTGGTGTAAGGGGACCATATGAGTGAGCAGTATTCTAAATTGGATCATACAAGAGCACAGCAGAGAGCTCTCAGAGTCTTGTGACGATCAAAATCTCTGCAGGTTCATTTAATTAATCCTAGCATCCTGTTTGCTTTGGCTACTACCTTGTCAATGTGCAAATTCCAATACAAGTGCTGATCATGCAGTTGTTATCCGTGAATCTTAGAGTTTCTTGACTTCCTCCAAAGCTGAGTTGTCTGAGAAGAAATTGAGATAAAAGGCTGTTTCTTCTTAGTAATTCTCACTATTTTGCATTTCTTTTAGTTAAAATCCACAAAATTGCATACGCCCCATTCGTGAAGGTTATCCATATCCTCCTGAAACAAGTTTTGATCTGAAGCAGAGTTAATGACCCTTGAAGTTTTACAGTCATCTGCATGGAAGGTGATGGTATTTCCAGGATGTACAGACTCTGGGAGATCATTTATGAATATAACAAAGAACAGTGGACCTGAAAGAGAGCCTTGTGGACTGCCAGAAGAAACTCCTGACCAAGATGACGAGACACCATCCAAGACCACTCTTTGTTGTCATTAAGTTAAATAGCTTTCACATCATTGTAAGATAGAGCCAGAGATTCCAAAGCCACAAAGCTTTTGCAGTAAAACTGGGTAACTAACCCTATCAAAGGCTTTAGAGAAGTCCAGAAAGGCCACATCTACTTGATGATTGTCATCCAGAGCCATGGCCCACTGATGGTGGGTAAGGACCAGTCAGTCTTGCATAACCTTCCTTTGACAAAACCATGCTGCCATTCGCTTAAGTGGGGTGAAACATGTGAATAGATAGCATTATGCATAATACGCTCCAAACACTTAGCAGAAATGGGCAGCAGGGAAATAGATCTATAGTTATCAACAAGTTCCCTGTTATCACCTTTACTAACAGGGGTGATGTTAGCAGATTTCCATAAGGTAGGCATTACACCAGACTTCAGTGATGAATTGAACTGACGAGTCAAGGGTACTGAAAGTTCTTTTGCACAAGTTCGGAGAATTTGGGTTGGTAGACTACCCATGTCAGGAGATTTACTTGCACTTCTGAAGCTGAAGTTGTAACATTCAATAGTAAGTAAGGATTTACAACATCTGGAGATGACAAATTCACATCTAATGAAGATTTGAATAAGTGGATTGAAAAAAATTGCTAAAAGTTCCACTTCGGAAGTCAGTTCAGTTGAATACATGTTACCATAGATGACAGTCTCTGGGATTCTCCTGGCTTTTGACTTCATGAAGTAGAAGGCCAAAAATGTTTAAAATTATCTAGAATCTTCTCCAACAGGGATTGTAGGTATTGAGAGTAACTGCAAATAATAAGTCTCTGTTTTCTTTTTAAGTTCCTTCAACATCATGAACAAATCTTGAGAACCACTGGACTTAGAATATTTCCAAAGCCTCTTCTTCTTTCGAACAAGTTTCATAACTTCATTATTAATCCAGGGAGGTCTGGAGTGCTGTTTGAGTGTTATCTGCAGTATAATGGCAGAAAGTACAATATCTTGAAACTTTTCCAGACTTGTATTTATACAGGCTTCAGAGGTTACTGGATCCCATGGCATAGACTGTAATGAATTTTTCAGACCTTGAAAATCAGCCTTTTAATAAATATGGACCCTCGGCTGAGCATTATCTGGCTTTCTCGTCTTGGCATGTAACTTAAAGGTAAGGGGATGATAGTCTAAATCAGAAGCATCAGGTCTCACAACTATCTCTTCAACTAGGAGGTCATTATTCGTAAGAACAAGATCCAGAATATTTCCAAGAGAGCCAGGATTCCTTGAGTCACAGGTTATATGCATATTCTTCTGAATAAAAAAGAAATCATCAAAATGTTGCAAACATCTTCAGATCCAGGATGAGAGTTTAAAGAGCAACTGAGGTTCCAATCAATGTTTGGAAAATTGAAATCACTAGTTACTACAAGATTAACTAGGCCAGTTCTTGAGTACTTCACTAGGAAGTCCCTAAAACATTCAAGAAATGACTCATCTGTACCAGGTGGTTTGTAGAAAATACATTAGAGAACATATGTGGTAAGGTTAGGATAAATTTCAAGAGCAATCATCTAAGCTTCAATTTTCAAGTGTGTCTCTTGCAGCTATGAGAACTCGTCCACCTTGCTGGTTGCTTCTATCCTTCCAGTACACAGTGTATCCCTTAAGTTGGAGCTCACAATCCAGATAGTTATTAGAGTTATGTTGCCAAGTCTCTGTCATGGCAACAATATTGAAAGAATCTGTAAGTAGGAAAGCATGCATACTTAATTACATTTGGCATTAACTCTGTCTGATGAGGGCAATGCCTGAAAATTGACTTCTGTAATTTGTTCAGTCGCTTCCTCAAAAAATGAATCTATGACGTTGAAAGGAAACGAGCAATTCATAAAATACCAAGAATTTTCAAAAGAACTTAGCATCATGCAGTTCTGTTGTTCATGCCGATGCACTTGGTATGATGCTGATTACAGCATCCAACACAGAGAATTCCCTTTTGGTTTGAGCGGACTGGTTTGGAGCAGATCACACATTGATGTTTCCATGTGGGAGGCTTTCTTCCAGTAGAAACTGGATTAGGATGAACATCTCCACAAAGTACTACATTATCCAGTTGAAAAGAAGCAGTTGAATTGCAGTGAGAGTTAATTCTGCGAGAGAGGAAGTGTTTCTTACACTTGGAAACAAGCTTAAAACCAAGATGGCTGCACAAACCAAAATCCTTTACAAGAGCGTAGCACAAGTTGGAGACCTCACAAGGAGCCAAGCACTTTCCATTAGCTCACAGAGACAAGCAACTCGCCTTAGTTAAACATTTCTTGAGGTGTAACAAGTTTCCAGAGCATAAAACCATCAAAAACAGGAAAATTTGGAGAGAGCAGACAAAAGCACATCTGATTCTCATGCTGACCGCTGACTGCTCACCTCCATACCAGCCAATCAGCGCATCCCACAAAGTATTATTCACCTGTGTGGTACAAATTATACTACTAATAAATAACATTAAGAACTTCTGTTACCTTTTACTTTGACCTTGTCATCATCACATCCAAAATCATATTTTAATTCGAAGTCCATAAAAGCAATTTTAATGCCTCTGTTCCTTCCAACCTCAATCTTCCAGTAGCAGTCTTTAAGAGAGGGATAATCTCTAGGCCAATTTGGAGAGCTTATAACTCCAGAGGTTGAAGAAAGAGTCTTTGTCGAAAAACATGTTGACCCTTTTTAAAGATATAATAAGGGTAAAAAGTTACAAATTATTCTCCCAAATGAATACACAGCACTAAAAAACAAGGACGACAACAAGTCCTTGCTATTTTTTAGGGAAGCTCTAATTTAAAAGAAAGCTGTTTGTCAAAGCACAGGCAGCTCAGTTTCACAAACAGCTGTTTAAATATTTGGTTTCATGAGGGAATGATTCCATTGGAATAAACAAAAAATATTCTTGAATTACACCCTTCATGACCATTTTTTTTTTAATAAACATGACTCATCAAGGATCAAGGCTGTGCTCAAAGAAAAATTGAAGGGAGCCTAGTGCTCTGAAACTGTGAAATCCAGGGTGCCCAGCATATGTTTCTTAAGATGAAAAAACTAAGATTCCTGAGTCTCCCAAGAGCAAAAGTTAAGCACCAGGGACCACCGAGCACTGCTAGACCACAGCCCTGAGGATCTATAACTTTGACCACATACCTCCTACACCACTTGAACTTCCTGTGGACTCAAACAAATACAGCCTGTTAGGTAATTAATGTTATGTTTTAAAAAAGATAGAAAGTACAAAATGGTACTCCATATATATAGTAGATGCTGTTTGCAAAATTAATGCTTGAAATTATGGAATATACTTTATTCAGCAAATTGTGTAGAACTAAAATTTTTATTGTGAGTTCAGTGAGTTCAAATCATGCACCATTATACCACCAGCATATAAGCTGTACATCTTTCTGATAAGGATTCAAAGTGTTGTCTGTTTTCAATGTTGGTTGCCTTATGTGCGTATAAGTTTGATAAAAGGACCAATATAAAGCAACTTTCTAGGATCTCCACTTGTGATTTGTTTCAATCACCTTTTAAATGACTTATCTTTCCAAATTTGAGTTGCCAAACCTGAGTGTGGCTTATCAACAAGTGCAGGTTATACACCAGTTTTTACACAGTATTTTAAAAACTTTTATGATATCCTTTCTTTACTTAAAATGTTTGATAAAGTGAAATGGAAGAGTATATTTTCTTCCTAATAGGAGTTTCCTTATGTTAAAATATAGCTGTAGTGTATAAAGGTAAAGTGTGACAGCACTTTGAATCTAGAAAATAGAAGGATCCCCATTAAGAGCCAAACATTACAATTTCTTAATTTTGTTTGCCTTTATCTCAATCATTCACATTCTTCTTCCATTTTTTCATTTCCCAGGATGATAGAGGTCATTCAAGAAAGTTGTGGCTGCAGAATATCAAAACCTATTACTCATTAAAATGACTTCAGATCTACCTGGAAAGCCAAAAAGGAGGCAAGATGCTAATAGTCCCTTTTACAGTTGTGGGCTTGGTGGCCAAGCCTTTGAACAGGAGTGAGGCTAAGGGTGACCCTGTTGTGATAGAGACCTGTATCTAGTTAGCATGATAACAAAGTAATTTGCATTTGAAAAGTAGCCACATCTCTATCATAACAAGGTCACCCTAAGCCTCACTCCTGTTCAAAGGCTTGGCCACCAAGCCCACAACTGTAAAAAGGACTATTTAATTTATAATGTTAATTGAACTGAGTGGAGTGCAATTTGGGCTGAAATCATACGCGTGATTTCAAAATCGAACGAGCGCACAGCGCGAGTTCAATTTGAAATCACACGTATGATTTCAGACCAAAATTGCACGACATGAGGTTCAATTACCACTTTATTACATCCATTTTGAAATCGCCCAAATACGGGACTTGTTCAATTCAAATATTTTACTGATGCAGTGCTGAGCCGGTTTTTAAATAAAAAGTGGAACCGGAAACGTGTTTACATCTTATTTTGTATGCAAAACAGAAAGACTTTGACATTGTGTCAAAAACTCAGTCAAGTGTAAAATGATGCGATTTAGAGCAAAAAATGATGCGATTTAGAGCAAAAAATGGTGCGATTTGGGAATAAATCGTACCAATTAAAGCCAATCAGATTACAGGGACCACCAGTGATTTCAAAATGGATGTAATAAATTACATTATGACTGGTTGATTTTGTCAGCTGCTCTTTCTCTTCCTCTTATCAACTCAAGTTAATCCCAAGATCTCATACCTAATTCTTCTTAATGCCTGCCATATAATTCTTATGATGTTAGTTTGGTGAATTCAGTATTGGATCAACTAATAATCCCCTAATTGATGTTTTCTTTATTCTTACTATCTATCTGCTTCATAGTGTATTGAAATTCCATCTAATGGTGACTCATAGGAGTTAAAAGGTTTAGATCTCTTCTAAACATTCTTCACGCAAACCAGCACACTGTAGCAAAAGTTTTAGAGACACACTCCTCTTCAAATACCTTATAATTTTCTTTACCCATCCCATACTCTATTATTTATTGTATTATTATTCTTAATCAATAAATATAGCAACAATACCAAGAGAAACTGATTTGTAACTTGCTTGAAATCCTTTGCCAGCACCAGAGCTATTGGACTTGAACCTTAAGCGCAGGCAGTTGTCACTTGAATAAACATCAAATGGCTTGTATCCATTTCCAGAGCAGTACCTGCCAATGGAACTTCTTCTGCATCCAATAAAAATCTCCACATAATCATCATTACAGTTTGGCATTTCCCCCTCAATGTCAAATGACAACCATGACAGTTTGATTCCAGAACCACTTCCAACTCGGATATCATAAGTACAGTACAGGTTGTTAGCGTAAGTTGAACTTGTTGAATATGATGGTGAAGACACTGTTCCAAAGGAACCTGTATGAGACCCCTTGTTACAATTTGAAGCTATAAAATCAGAAGATAGCATGGAGAGTTAGTAATGCTATCCACAAGAGGAAGGGTTTACTCATGGGAAGGTTATTGGCACCATCAAGCCAGGTCTACCAAATTCAAACAGGATACTAATGATTAGATTTTTAACAAAGGTGCTCATATCCTTTTGGAATATTCCAATTAACACAGACAACCTGTTAAAGAGGCTACATACAAAACTATACACTGTATCAAGGACTCAAGAACCTGAAACCATACCCTGTGTATTGCAGAATGATACATGCAACCACGTAAACAATGAAATAATAGGAGAGAATGCACTGAACATACATCTGCCTCCCCTCAGGGTTGGTTGATACAATTTTGGTTTCAACTATGCTCTGTATTAAAATAATTTGAATATATCAACAAAGTTGAAATGGTAAATTGGCCACCGTTACGGTTACAAAAGCTGACGTTTCGAGCGTTAGCCCTTCATCGGAGCGAATGACGAAGGGCTAACACTCAAAATATCAGCTTTTATAACCGCAACGGTGGCCAATTTACCATTTCAACTTTGTTGATATATTCAAGTTATTTTGTTATCCCCACCGACGCAGCGCTAAACAGTTTCTTTAGAAACTATCAGCCTTTATTCATATGTTCTGTATCAATTCAAGGTCACACTCTGTGGTCACCACATTTCAGGGTCACAGGGTCATTCAGAAACTGAAAATACTGCAGTATTCTTTCAGGACAGAATGATTTCTTAATGTTGTGAAAATGCCATTTATGTATTTCGACAAAAGCCAAGACTCTGATGATGGCTTCTCTTTGCATTTCAAAATAACAGTCACTATCACTGACAAAGTCCTTTTTAGGACTACTCGCACCAATGGTAGACAATTACTCAACATGATCAATTTTTTCTGGTGAGTTCAAACATTTATTGAAACCTTTTCCCCTCACAAAACTATACCCCCAAAAATGAGGACCAAGAGTAGCCAAACTCCAGATAAATACATTCAAAGGATTACAATGAATAACTCCCAGTTTCTAGCAGTTATAGTTGATTCAGGCTTCCCCATCATCAACCATCACATTAAAGAACTGTACATGATAATGTAAATGTTAACAACATTTTTTTAAAGATTTTGTCATTATTACTCAAATGATAGTACTGGTATCTTACCTACAAATCCAACCTCCAGTAACAGGAGCCCTTTTAAGAAATAAAAAATCATGTAACATTCTAGAACGAAAGCTACTTATGGTAATGACTGACAGAAACTCCAATCTGTATCCTATATGCTGCAAATTTTCTGAGGAATTTCATTTTCATTGATGATTTTTTTATGCTTCCTAGAAATAAACACTTGGGAGTCAAGATGACTTAAAATCTACAGGGAAACACTTTTTGAACTTTTCAAGTTTCACAGTGAATCAAAGACTAGCATATAATGTGTTCACAGCATAACTCCTGCAGCTTCAACCTTAAATAGCCTTGATGACATAACAGTTTTTGTGAGTCAGCAAGATATGAGTTATTGACCAAAAGTGAAGTCAAGGTGGCTGGATTTTGGCTGAATTCCTTTTTCGACATTTTTAGGGACCTGGACTTCCACTTGGTCCATAAAAACTTAGAGTATGAACTAGGCTAATATCCTGCAAATCTTGACCACCAAGCTTGGTTAATAAAGGATTTACTATATTGCAAAAATATATCTCATTTCGAAGAATCAAAATGATTTTTTCATTTCAAGACCCCAGCAAGAAACTATGTCTGTGACACAATAAACCAAAGAGGGTCCTTTCATTTTTTCTTTGTCTTGACTTTCTTCTTCTGCTCTTTACAACTTCATCAACTTTGTTAGTCTGCTCCACCCACTTTTCTTCTTGCACAGGATCAATACAGGCAATCCCAAGCAGGCAAGATGGACTTATCTTGCCTGGTCCAGAAGCCAATAAGAACACAGGATTGGCTTCATCTTGCCTGCTAGTACTGTCAGCTACATAGTAATAACTGAATAATTCATCTTAAACCAAAAAATAGCTGCAAAAATCACCAAAAGTAAGGTTACTTCATGAAGTAATTCATTTCTTAAATACTTAGATGTGAATGATAAATACCTGTTAGAAGTTGAAGATACATTTCCTTTTTGAATGGTTAGCCCTAGTTGAATGATCTTGCACTTTGTAACTCAGATCTGTAGAAAGGGCCTGTGAAGTTCGTCCTGTAACAGAGTCGAAATGATTCTTAGAATGCTCATGGAAACCACAATAGATTGCATAACAATCAGTGTGGGAATTTTAACTCCAATTCTTCGTTTTCACTTGACGTCACTTCCTCTGAGGTCAGGGTTAAAAAACCGGAAGTCGGCCATGTTGGAAGATATACAAACACGCGAAAGCGTATGCTCGGCTGCACGTGTAGTCAGTCGTGAAGCTAAAACTGGTGATTTTCTTCATTACGCCAACTCTTTGTGCTGTTTTTAATTGTGGGTATCATAATACTCGAGACAAAGAGTGTAGTTTCCTCAGAAT